GCCGTAGCGGAATAGCCGAAAACTACACTTCGAGAAGTACAGGCTGACCTCGCACTCAACCACGTTTCGGCGACAACCGTGAAGCGCCGTTTTTACGAAACAGGACTTAGAAGCCGAATGGCTGTCAGGAAGGCGCTCATGTGACCTTAGAACAAGACGAAGTGACTCCAGTTTGCTTAAGATATAGCCCACTGACCTGCATCTGACTGGACGGGCCAGTCCACGTTCACGACTCGGTGGGATCAGAGAACACGAGTGTAACGCCCCATGAACTTGCGATATGTAAAGAAGTTCTAAGCTTTCAAGAAGCAGTCGTGTTTGTGTGAATTTCGGCCGCTGCTTTTAGCAGCGCTAGTTACCTGTGATATGACTGTTCAGTAAGTGGTAATACTTCATTGACTTGAAGTTAGCCGCGAAATAGTGTCAGAACCTTCTTTCTGTAAGGTACTGCACGGTGCGAGTGATGTCTAACAGGAAGGTAATTCATTGGAGTTTATCAGACACTGAGAACAGCACCTATAACTTTCCTTGTTATCTAGAACACTGAACTATGGTATCTAATACACTTAACCAAATGCCCTTTTTTTGGTACGCATGATGAAAGGTGTACCTATAATAATCAAGTTTATATTGAAAAATCTTTGTAACCCTATTTCAACTCATGTGGAAACCCACGAAGGTGACTCATTTGTAAAATGGATGCAGGTGTAACTCACAGATTTCGGGAAGCACGCCCGAAAACGTCTGTAGACGACCCGCAGGCTAACTGGTCGGCAGCTACGGCATCTCAGGTCTAGTCTGATCAAGCTCGCTGTCTCTATTTTTCTCGGAACCTCGTTTTGCCCTCGGGGTCTCTTTCATCACACCCATGACAGAATGAAAAATATGAGTACCTACCACGAATGTTTTGCCCCAGTGCATAATGTCTCCAAAGCAACTACAAAAAAAATCGCCAGTCATTGGCTCGGTCAGTACCTTGTCGCGCTGCCTTTTTCCGCATTTACATGTTGCAGCACTATAAAGCCAACTTTGTCCGTTAATAAAATGATATTGTTCATTTCCTGCAGGTATATTCTGTGATACACACACCGAATAGCTGCCAGTGGCTGAAGTTCAGTGACTGTTTGGGGGGCAATCACAAAGAATGGCCCCGGTCCTCTCGACAGGGTACATGGCTGTTTCGAGGCTGAGAGCTACTTCTTCATTCTAGACGATGTGACATTGCCATTCCTTTTTGGGGAAGCGTTTCCAGATGGAGGCTTCATCCTCCAACCATACCACTCCCCCTACGCAAGTTCAAGCTGACTTCCTCCTTCCTACACGAGCGTTGAGTTGCCGTGCTGGAATGGCCACGACAATCCCCAGACATTAACATAATTGAGAACATTTGGGAAAACGTGTAAGCAGCGTTGTGCTCCCGCAGCCTACATGGCTTGTCTTCGGACAACCTGTGGTCAGCAGTACAAGCCCGCTGGGAGGAATCCAGGGCGAACGCTCAGACATGCGACGCCTTGCATGCGTCCCTTCCGGATAAGATGAGGGCGGCGATCAAGGCTCATCATGATGCGACCCGCTTCTAAATAGTCTAATTATCTAAGTACAGCAGTACAGCTAACTTAAAATACATTTGTAAATGTCCCAACCTACTTTTTCACTTTCATATAAGCTTGAACAGAACTTTCTTTTTTTATTTATTGACCAGGTGAGAGTAGTTTGATTTTGTTTGTTACACAAAATCAGATCACCTTAATAAAGTTTAGGTATTTGGTATGTGGTCGAGCACCTATTTTTTTTTCGTTATATTTCAAAAACAACGGGCATATGCAGGCAGTCTGGTAACATAGACCAACGAATTTCATTGTACTAGAACAGGGCTAGTACACTGTAGCGTACCCAGGCAACATGCTATCACAGATTGTGTTTAGTTCAGCGGGTTTGTGCTTCGGCGCATTACCAGGTCAACGAGGCATCGCGCACTTTTCCGTGGTGGTTTCGTGTGCAGCTTCAGAAGTTTACTTATTTTTTATGTACATTTCATTGCTCAACTAGCTCACAAAATGTGTAGATAGCCGCTCATGTGAGTGCCGACTGTTTTCGCTGGTGCTCGGCTGGCACGCTCTCGTCTTTGGTGACTGTGAACGCCACAGGCTAAGCAACAAGGTGCTTTACTCTACGGCTGCCAAAGCTATATTTTCAAAAGTGTTGTCTTGCTGCATGGTTTTCAAGGTTTGGCCAACGCGAGTTTCCAAACTATTACGCTATTGTGCTCGTGAACAGTTGTCTCACAATCGCCTCTGCGAACTTTGTGCATATTACAAGTACGGCACTTGGCTAATAAAACAGCTTTGCTTCCTCAATCTTTGTTATTTTGTTTTTTTCTCTCGCATGCAATTAGCGACACACAATTATGGCGTGAGGAAGTCGCGTAATAAATGCACGTAGGAGATCAGCAATAACAAACTTTCAATTTCGCGCCATGTATGGCAAATGCGCAACGACGCTGCCACTTCCGGTGGTGACGTCATATTTTTCATTTTTGTTGTTAGTATTTTTCTTTTCACTAGATCTCAATGGTGGCAACGAGCCGCCGACTACTGGATCCATGGGCTTCTATGGAAGTTACGCTACCAGTTTACATATACCTTGGCCCCTCGCCCATAGAGAAACATATTATGTAAAGAGTGGCGACTCGAGCTCCTTCGCTGCCCAGCAAGATAGGCTCTCACCAACCGCTAGATGGCGCGCCTGGGATCGCTTCCACTTTTCGGTTCGGACTGTCGTGGTGGGTGGACGTTTTTTTCGAGCTCTCCCGATCGACTGCGCCTATAAGTAGTTTTGCATGTTTTAAGCTTGTCTTTATAATTAATAAGTCAACAGTTAAAATATTTGTAGCACTTATTACATTGTGCGGCTTTTTAGCGGGTCAGTCACCAGGTATTTATTAGTTTGTGCGCGCGTGTGTGCTTCATTTTTTGTTGTTGTTTTTCCTCTTGCAAATTTTTTGTAGTAGAGCTTAGACGTTCCCTTTCCGTAGGGCAGGGATCGAGTTTTGTAATTATCGAGTGAGACAAGTTATAGGGACAATTGGTGTCAGAAAGACATGGCCAAAAGACTATAAAGTTCAGGATGCCGGGTGGGTTTGAAAATAGACCCAAGTGTAGAAGCGGATGGAGAATACATAGAGTTTCCTAAAATTAAGTAGAGGGCACTCTGGCGCTGCGATCGTTCAGCGACCATGGGAATGATGGGTAGTACACACATTTGCCTAATCTTCGTACTTGCGGGTGGCGAATCGTACTTGCGGCTTCGTTTACTGCTGTGTTTCGGTTTTGTTTTGAAATAAAGATTTAACCCTTTTGAACTTCGTGACCTAATTTGGAAAGGTAAGTTTAAAAGAACGAAGTGGTGAAACACAATCGCAGAACATTTGCTGATTTCTGTTTCGTGAGAAAACAGCTCCAAGCCACACGAACACACACGGAACCGAAACCAGACCAGAAGTACGAAGTTTAGACAAATGTGTGTACTACCCATCATTCCCATGCTCGCTGAACCGCCGTGCGTTGCAGCTTCCATAGACACTAGCGCCAGAGTTCCCTCTAGTGTATATTAAGAAACTCTATGGGAGAAGAGGCTGACGCGAAGTGTCTGCGGTAATGAGGGAGATAGGTTAGATTTCAGATTCAGTAAGGAAAAATCAGTAGTCATGATTTTTATAGATAATGAAGATAGTGGGCTTATGATACAGGAGGTCACGCTAGAAACAACAGAATAATACAAATATCTGGGCGTATGGATAAGCAATGAGACCGAGTACCTAAGGGAACACGAAGTATACGTGACGACTAAAGGTAACAGGAATACAGCAGTAATGAAAAATAGGGCACTGTGAAATTACAATAGATATGATGTTGTGAGAGGAATATGGAAAGTGGTCATGGTTCCTGGTCCGACGTTCGGCAATGCGGTCTTGTGCATGAGATGAGAAGTTCAAGGAAGATTAGAGGTTAAGCAACGTGGAATAGGTAGGCTTGCTTTAGGAGCTCACGGGAATACACCGTATGCGGTGATACGGGATGAACATCATTTGAGGGCAGGGAAGCTAGCAGCAAGATAAAATTTGAGAAGCGATTGAGAGAAATGGGAGAGAAGCGTTGGGCTAGGAAGGTTTTCAGCTACATGAAGAATGTTGATAAAAAAATGGAGGAAGCGAACCAGAAAATTGACAGGTAAATACTTGGAAAACAGCAGCGGGCCAAACCAAAAAGAACTATCGGTTAAGAAGAAGATGAAGGAAACGGAGACTGACATGTGGAGAAACGGCATTATTAAGAAGTCCACACTAGAGACCCATTGGACTTTTTAGCAGGAAATTGCCAAGGAAAGGATTTATGATAATACTCGGGGTAGTTCTCTACTGTTTGAGGCCGGGACGGGAGTATTGCGAACCAAGACATATCGGGCCAAACACGAAGGGGTAGACACGGTATGCAGTGCATGCGGAGAGGAGGAGGAAACTGCCGAACACTTGATAATGTTCTGTAAAGGGCTTCACCCTATAGTTCAGGATGATGGCGCAGAGTTTTTCAAAGCACTATAGGGTTTAGAGACAGGGAGGGCAAAATAGCTAGACTTTAAGCGGCTAGAATTAACTAGAAGGAGGTTATCTGATTGGTGGCTAAAATCAAAGCACAAGTGAAAATTAAACCATTCGCTGCAAAGTACCAGCCCTCAACTTCACTATTTAAAGGAGAAAAAGATAAATATGATTGTTGGTTCACTAAGTTTTACGGCTAGGTGGCGTTAGCCACCGTCTGATTTAAAGGGTACAGCTACATCAATAAGTCAAACTTAGAAGTGCATATGGTGGCGAAGAGGTTTCGTTGGAAGCACTCGAGGTTGACGTTATATCAAAAAAAAAAAAAGAATACCACTCCTGCCAGTTTAACTGAAGAAGAAGCATGAAGACGACGGATTAAAGTTGGCTGACGGTTTATGTGCTAGCACAGACTGCAGAGAAATCGGAATCTTTGCTGGATCAGACCAGTACTGGCAATAATAACCGGAAGCATCCGAAAACTGGAAGAGAAGCTGACGGCAACAGAGACCATATTCGGTTGGACGGTGCAGGGCAAAACTAATTTAGCCGCAACGTTAATGAAACGGTCAACCGTTAGGGTACTTCACGTTGAAGTGGAAAAGTCCGACATAGAAACAGAGCTAATGCATTTCTGGGACATAGAAACCATCGGCATAGAGGGCATCGAGGAAGACGCAAAGAAAGAAGAGAGTATGCTGTATTTTAGCAAGAACTTAAAGTGTGAAGAAAAAAGATACTTGGAACGACTTCCATGGAAAAATACCGCGGAGCTTGATGAAAACAAGGGTGTCGCAATGACCATATTGAAGCAACTCACTCGAAGGTTACAGAAAGACGAAAGTGTATTGCAACGTTACGACAATGCCATCAGAGAGTACTTGACTAGTGGAGTGGCAGAGTGGCCGAGGAAGGAAGGGCACCAATGACACAGTGCTACTACATGCCGCATCAAGCCGTCATCAAGGAGGATCGTCAAACAATAAATATAAGAGTAGTAATTGGTGTGTCATCATCGTCCACAAAAGGGTCATCTCTAAATGACAACCTCGAAGCTTGGCCAAATCTCAATTGTGATCTCGTGCACATGCTGATGAACTTCAGACACCATCTCATTGCAATAATAAGCTGATATTGAGAATGCATTCTTACAGATTTCAATACATTAGAAAGAGACGCACTGCGTTTCCTTTGGTCGGATAGAATTCCGAGTGGAAGCGATGCGAAGATCGTAACATAGAGAATGTCAAAAGTGACGTTTGGCACTGCCCTCTTGCTCGCAGCAACAGTACAGCACCGCCTCAGCAAGTTGGAAGAGAAATTTATCGAGACGATTAAACAGCTGAGGAGAAACATCTACGTCGACTATATAATAATGGGAGCCGAATACCAAGGCAGCCAAAAAACTTTACCGGGAATCAAAGGAGATTTTTTCAAGAGGTGTCAATGACTCTCAGAAAGTTCAACACAATTGAGCCTGGACTACAACAAAACATAAAGAAAGAGGAAAACGCAAGCTTCAGGGCTTCCACCGAAATAAAGGTCCTTGGCATCAGATGGAACTTCAAGGAAAATAGGCTGTACCTACCATCGTTTGACATAAAAGACATCAATACCAGCGGTGCACTAACGAAGCGCCAGATGTTACAGCTCACTGCAAGAGTATACGATCCTCTGGGACTATTTACTCCATTCACGGTAACAGCCAAGCAAGAAATACAAAACATGTGGGGGAAAGGGACGTCTTGGGACGACTCACTGCCAGATGATGAAACGAAGACTTGGAGGAGATGGATTTGTAGCGGAAGCTGCTCAGCACCACCGCATTCTTTTCTATCCCGTCTGCAGCCGGCCGTCGACAGCGCGCCTACTCGCGGCGCCAGCGCCTCCTCCTCCGTGTTCGGGGAACAACGTGTTGTCGGGGCCGGCTCCGGGGATTGGCACCGGCGGCATGCTACGTCTGCTCGCTCGGGGGACCCCTTTTCCGCTTTCTTGTAGAAGAACGCGGGGGTGCCTCCTTCTCTCCCTCGTCGAGGGGAACTCTCGTCACTCGCACGGAGTGGAAATAAACAGTCTTGCCCTGCAACTCCAAACCAGCTTCACGTCTCCTTTCTCGCTACCTCCGGCAGCCGACATTCCCGGCCGCTACAAAATTGGTGACCCGAACGTTTCAACGAACACGCCGCGATGAGCTCCGACGACAACGCTGCTGCCTCCACGCCTGCGGTCATCGCCACAGAAATGAGGCTACCAAATTTTTGGCCGAAAAATCCAAGAGTTTGGTTCAGCCAAGTGAAGGCCCGTTTTCAGCTCCGGCACATCACCTCGCAGTCGACAAAATACCTTCACGTCGTCGCAGCCCTGCCCCCCGAAATCGCCGACGCTATCGACGACATTTTGGTTTCACCCCCCGCGCAAGAAGAATGTGACACCCTCAAAAAGACGGTGCTGGACCGCCTCGAGGCGCCTGAAGAAAGCAGACTGCAGCAGCTCTTGTGTCGCGAAGAGCTGGGCGACCAACGACCTTCCCAACTGCTGCACCGTATGCGGCAACTTCTCGGTGTGCACGCGCGTCAGGACGGCCAGCTCCCACTTCTTCGTGAACTTTTCCTGCAACGGCTCCCCCAGTCGGTGCGCCTGGTTCTCGCGGGTTCAAATGAGACGTCCCTTGATCGACTAGCGCAACTTGCCGATCGCATCACGGAATACTCAACTCCAACCTTTGCGCCCATAGCTGCTGCAAGAACACATGAGCAACCAGATCGACTGTCGCGCCTTGAGGAGAAACTGCAACACCTTACCGAGACCATGCAGAAACTTGTGCTATCTGGCGCTTCCCAACAGGACGAGCAACGACGCAACCGATCCCCTTCAAGACACCCAAGCTCTTCCCAGAGAAGCCATGCACGAGATACACAGGACGGAGTTTGCTGGTACCACCGTCGTTTCGGCACGGGTGCTAGCCGCTGCACTCAACCTTGCTCGTTTCCGGGAAACGCTCCGGCCAGTCGTTAACGGTGGCTTACGACATCGGCCCTCCACCCAGCCGCCTGTTTTTCGTAGTCGACCGCGTAAGCAACTCGCGCCTGCTAGTCGACACGGGAGCCGAAATCTCTATTGTCCCGGCAACCCCCGAGGATCGCCGACGTAGCAAGAACACATCGTCGCTGCAGGCAGTGAAGAACACTGCCATCGCTACGTACGGCTTCCGCCCGCTGACAATAGACGTCGGACTCAGGCGCCTGTTTCGCTGGGTCTTCGTGGTGGCGGATGTTAATTTCGCCATACTCGGAGCAGATTTTCTCAGCCACTTCAACCTGGATGTGAGCGTACGTGACCGTTGCCTCAAGGATAACAACACATCCCTCAAAGTACGTGGTTTAGAGTCAAACATCTGCTCATCTGGCATCTGCGCCTTCCAGTCAGTATCAGCCTACCACCACGTCCTGGCCGAATTCCCCTCGCTCACCAAGCCCCGCAACACGGAACAGCCGGTGAAACATAACGTGACTCACCACATCGTCACCACTGGGCCGCCAGTCACCGCCCGGCCACGACGGCTGTCCAGCAAAAGGCTTCAAGCTGCACGCAGGGAGTTCGAGCATATGCTGCAGCTGGGAATTGTTCACCCTTCGTCCAGCAACCATTCATCGCCGCTACACATGGTGCCTAAGGACGACGATTGGCGCCCGTGTGGTGATTACAGAGCCTTGAACGCATCGACAACGCCGTACCAGTATCCTCTGCCACACATTCACGATTTCAGCGCGCGGCTGGCAGGTACGAAAATATACAGCAAGATCGACCTCGTAGCGGCATACCACCAAATCCCCGTCGAACCGCAGGACATACCAAAAACAGCCTTAACAACTCCGTTCGGCCTGTTTGAGTTTGTCCGCATGCCCTACGCCTTGAAAAATGACGCACAGACCTTTCAAAGGTTCATGGATGAGGTCACCCGGGATCTTCCTTTCATCTTTGTCTACCTGGATGACATTTTGGTGGCCAGCAGAACGCCTGCGGAGCACGAAGAGCACCTCCGCCAGCTCTTTCAGCGTCTAGATGAGCACGGTCTGGTATTGAAACCTCAAAAGTGCGTGTTTGGAGTAGAGGCGCTCAACTTCCTCGGCCACCACATCACTGCTGAAGGCATTATGCCATTGGAATCGAGGGTGGAATCCGTCAAGAAGTTTCCAGCTCCAACATCTTTTCGCAAGCTGAGGGAGTTCCTCGCGCTCTTAAACTTCCACCGGTGGTTCATTCCGTCTTGTGCTCGAGTGCTCCAGCCATTGACCGACCTGCTGCGCCGAGACGACCAAATAGCACCAGAATTTTGTTGGTCTGACGAACACCAGAACGCTTTCCAGAAAGCTAAGGACGAGCTAGCCGCGGCTGCCCTCCTCATTCATCCACGGCCTGAAGCTCCTACACGCCTCATGGTGGACGCTTCCTCCACATCGGTCGAACCAGTGCTGCAGCAACAGGAGGGCGCCCAGTGGAAGCCACTGGGCTTCTTTTCGAAACGTCTGAAGCCTGCAGAAGCACGGTACAGCACTTTTAGAAGAGAGATGCTCGCAATCTATTGTTCTATTAAGCATTTCCGCTACTTACTCGAAGGCCGTGAGTTCTACATCTTGACAGACCACAAGCCCCTCACCTACATATTCAACAACAACAGTTCCTCCTACTCAGAACGAGAGATCCGTCAGCTCTCATTCATCTCCGAGTTTTCTACAGACATCCGCCACGTTCCCGGGGTCGAAAACGAAGCAGCTGACGCCTTGTCTCGCGTCAACGCTTCCGGCACAGAAGTCCTGGACTTCGAAGCTCAGGCCGCAGCTCAGCGGGACGACCCCGAGTTGACAAGACTGAAGGGAGGGGGATCTTCACTCGTGCTCTCGGAGGTTGCACTTCCCTACGTCCAAAGCACGATAACCTGCGATACCTCCCAGGCAGCACCACAACCTTTCGTCCCACTGAACTTTCGCCGAGTGGTATTCAACACTTTCCACTCCATCAGCCACCCAGGTGTCCGCGCCACCCAGCGGCTGATAACGCAACGCTTCGTTTGGCCCGGAGTCAACGCGGACGTGCGACGATGGGCTCGGACATGTGAAACGTGTCAGCAAGTGAAAGTGACTCGCAACAATCGGGCTGCACTACAGCAATTTCGGACTCCTGAGTCGCGGTTTGACCACGTTCACCTCGACCTCGTGGGACCACTACCGCCCTGCCAAGGATTTAGGTACCTGCTCACATGCATCGACAGGTACAGCCGGTGGCCCGAAGCTATACCAATTGCGGACATATCAGCTGAGACCGTCGCGCAGGCCTTCATTCAAACATGGGTGTCCCGCCTTGGCTGCCCCGCCCGCATAACAACTGACCGGGGACGGCAATTCCAGAGCAACATCTTTTCCGCACTTTCAACGCTCCTCGTCACGAAGCTGCAGCATACAACCGCCTACCACCCCGCCAGCAACGGAATGGTTGAGCGCTTCCACCGGCAACTCAAAGCCGCACTGGCAGCGAAACTCGACCGCCAGCACTGGGTGGAGAAGCTCCCACTCGTTCTTCTTGGCCTACGCTGAACGGTGAAGGAAGACCTCGGCTTCAGCGCAGCGGAAATGGTCTACGGCTCAACAGTGCGCCTCCCGGGAGAATTCTTCTCCGACCAGACACCTTCCGCCCCAACAGCCTCCGATCACATCGAGAAGCTGCGCGCATGGCTCGCGCAACTCAGGCCAACAGCACCTCGCATCGCCCGCAACAGGAAAGTTTTCCCTTTTCCTGACATGGACTCTGCTACCCATGTGTTCGTGCGACACGACGCAACGAAGCCGCCCCTTACTCCGCCGTACGATGGCCCATTCAAAGTTTTGGGACGTACGAACAAAACCATCGCAATCGACGTGCGGGGGAAACGAGAAGTCATCGCCATTGGCCACGCCAAGCCTGCTCATATTGAGGTTTTCATTCAAGCAGCCTCTCACGTACGATTTCAGTGCTAACCATTGGACTGTGACCTTTCAATATTCAGCCCGTAACTGCTGTCCTTCTTCAAAAGCTCCGCAATCTAGGGGGGGAGCCTTTGTAGCGGAAGCTGCTCAGCACCACCGCATTCTTTTCTATCCCGTCTGCAGCCGGCCGTCGACAGCGCGCCTACTCGCGGCGCCAGCGCCTCCTCCTCCGTGTTCGGGGAACAACGTGTTGTCGGGGCCGGCTCTGGGGATTAGCACCGGCGGCATGCTACGTCTGCTCGCTCGGGGGCCCCCTTTTCCTCTTTCTTGTAGAAGAACGCGGGGGTGCCTCCTTCTCTCCCTCGTCGAGCGGAACTCTCGTCACTCGCACGGAGTGGAAATAAACAGTCTTGCCCTGCAACTCCAAACCAGCTTCACGTCTCCTTTCTCGCTGGCTTCGGCAGCCGACATTCCCGGCCGCTACAGATTAAAGAGCTGGAATCGATTCGAGATTTCAGTGTACCAGGATGGTTGGATGTAAGACAGAGGAGGAAGCCTATTCACATAAAACTTCACTTGTTTTCGGATGCAAGTCTATATGCACACGGAACAGCGGCCTATTTGATAAATCACTACGAGAAGGAAAAGGAGGCTGAAATACCAAATGCAGAAGGAAGAATAGCGCCAATGAAGCAAATCTCGTTACCACGACTTGAGTTGATGGCTGCGTTGCTGTCTTCATGCATTTCTAAATACATCAGAAGCGGATTTGTAAGGAATGTAAATGCTACAAGATACTGGACGGACTCGACCGTTGTTCTTAGTTGGCTACATGGAAAGAAAAAGTGAGACACATTTGTAGAGAATAGGGTGAAGGAGATAAAAGATTAAACGAAGCTACGAGACTAGAAAAACATTGCAAGTGAAGAGAACCCAGCTTATCTCATGACCAGAGGTGTAAGCGCAAAGGTTTTGGTACAGTCGGACCTATGGTGGCATGGTCCAAAGTGGCTTGTTACGAAAAACAAGACCACAGGGCAGACGGAAACGGAAGACACTGAGAGTAGTGAATGTTAAGCAACTAACATTTACACGTCAATTACGGTCGTGATCGACGCAGAGAAGTATGGAAGCTGCATAAGATTGCTCAGAGTAACAGCTTGGGTTCTGAGATACATACAGTTTATAAGAAAGAAGCAGATAATCGGCCATCTGAGTTTTGAGGAACTAAAGAATGCAGAGACGGCGATGACAAAATTGGGAGCTTGACGACATATTGAGCGCTAAGAGACAGGGACAGGAGAGAGTGGACACCACAATGCGCTAACTTCAACAATTTTTATTTTCAGGAAACGCGAACCTATAAATCCGTGTACAGTGGCGCCACCAGTCTATCCACTAGCCCAGCAGAAAAGCCCTTTCTCGATCTAACAAGTCAACTGACGGTGCACTTACACATGCGTCACCTTTGCGAAAGATAGCATGGGCTTCAATTATCTCTCGCACGTCTTTATCTTTATGCTTCGCCAGAACACTGCAGGATGCGTACAAGGGTGTGCAACCACATTCCACGCAATGTACTGACAAATGGCCATAATTATTCTTGTTTTTAACATTGAGCTTATGTTCACGAAGACGGTCATTAAGGCATCTACCCGTCTGACCTATACATATACCACCACAAGTCAGAGGAAGCCCATAAACTACCCCTTCAACACACGCCACAAAATGATCGCGATGCTTCTTGGAGCAACCGACAGCAGGCTTGCGGTGCGGGTCCGTCAAGCGACTTATCCTGCCAAGCTTTTGTGGTGCTGAGAATACTACTTTGATGCCCACTCGACTAGCTACTTTCTTCAGGTTATGAGCAGTTTTGTGCAGGTACGGCACTACTGCAACTCTGCTCCTACTCGCTGCCGGTTGGATGTCTGCTTCCCGAGGGCGACTGTCCAACCGGCATTTTTTAAGCAAACCCTCGACAACAGACACCTGTATCGACTCTGGGAAACCTGCTGCGGATAACCTCTCCGACTGACTCATGACACTTTTCTGAATTTTATGATGGCAAGATTTCCGCAATGCGTTCCCAAAACACAGATTGGCAATGCTTCTTTTTACTAGCTTCGAGTGAGCAGATTGGTATGGCAACAGGGGCTTATTAGCTCTGGGCTTGTATTCCCAACACGTGTGCTGCTGCTTGAATTCCATTTCAACGTCTAAAAACCGCAGCACGCTATCGGTTGGCTCTTCTACTGTAATACTGAGTGGGCTAAGGCAAGCAGAAAAAACAGCTTCGAGTTGACTTACTGCTACGTTTTCTTCACGCTCGAACAAGACAAGGTAATCGTCCACGTATCTCACAACTTTTGCCACCCTGTGCTGTGACAAGACATGTGCCAGATTTCTATCATGGTGGGCCAGAAAAATGTCACTCAGTACCGGCGCCAAACAGGAGCCGATACAGATGCCCTGCTTCTGAAGGAAAGTTTTTCCATTCCACGTGGCAAATGTCGAGCGGAGATATAAGCGAAGCAAGTCTAAAAAGCATTGAACCGAAATCTCGGCTGAGTTTTGAAACGCAACCACACCAAAGCTGTCAATACATTCTTCCACGCGCTCGATTAGTTCATTTTGAGGCAAAGAATAATATAAATCTTTTATGTCAAAGGAGCAGGCGAAAAAACCTTTGTCTGGGTTACTCTTCAGGAAATCTAATATTTCCCCGGAATGCTTAATCAAAAAGGGGTCGTCAATTTTAAGAATACCGAGCCTTTCTTGCAAGAAAAGGGCTAGGTTCTTCTGCCATGACCCTATTTCCGAAACTATTACCCTCAATGGCCATTCATTGGCACTGCTAAAATTTATTTCTAGTACATCGGGCTCTTTTCTGTGTTCTTCGTACAATCCGTGTTCAGTTGCTCCCCTCTTGATTCATGCCAACTGCCAAGCTCGCTCCCTTTCCTTCTTCATTCGCTGCAAGCACCTACCGGATGAAGTCGTGCGGTTGTTTGGTGGACTCGCTCCTTCAGCCGGGCATGGCATCAGAGTCCTCAAGATTCTTAGGAGTGAGTGGCACAGGCAGGCTCGGATGTTAAAGGACCTGCTCAAGACCTCCTTGGGAGATCCAGGAAGGACACGACATGCCACCAGGGAGTGGAAGAATCTTCTAGCGATCGTCAGCAGCGGCACGGAATTCATGTGGAAGCAGACTCTGCCAGGCTTACGTGCCAGCATCCCAAAGAAGACAGTTCCAACCACGTGCAGCGTCAGAACCACCGGCCAGGTTAGTCTTCCAGACTACGTTGAAAAAGCTCTTAAACTTGGACCTAAGTTCGCCGTCGAGCCACGGTTGAGTGCGCCGGAACTTTTGAGCCTTGTGCGACGGATATCAAAGTGTGCCCCGGAAGGTGAAGCGAATCGATGTATATCGGAAGGGGTTGATGTGATCTCGCGGAAGAATATTGGGGCTTCACGGGTGCCTGTAAGCCGTGTTGTGTCGTTCTTGAAGCAGAAGCGACTGTGCGTTCTGCCAGCGGATAAGGAGGGCGGATTTGTTGTCCTAGGGGAAGGTGACTATGACGAGAGAGCCTGTTCTGCAGTTGCCAAAGTTTTTAATGAGTGCAATAATGTGTCTCTTAGGAAGGTAAAACTTGAAACAAAACGTCTCTGTAAAAATTTGGGCCTGAGTAGATTGTTTCACGATATTGACGCAGCCAAGAAAGATAGCCTTGATATTATGTTTAGCGCGAAAACGCACAAGCCTGAATGGCCATTGAGGGTAATAGTTTCGGAAATAGGGTCATGGCAGAAGAACCTAGCCCTTTTCTTGCAAGAAAGGCTCGGTATTCTTAAAATTGACGACCCCTTTTTGATTAAGCATTCCGGGGAAATATTAGATTTCCTGAAGAGTAACCCAGACAAAGGTTTTTTCGCCTGCTCCTTTGACATAAAAGATTTATATTATTCTTTGCCTCAAAATGAACTAATCGAGCGCGTGGAAGAATGTATTGACAGCTTTGGTGTGGTTGCGTTTCAAAACTCAGCCGAGATTTCGGTTCAATGCTTTTTAGACTTGCTTCGCTTATATCTCCGCTCGACATTTGCCACGTGGAATGGAAAAACTTTCCTTCAGAAGCAGGGCATCTGTATCGGCTCCTGTTTGGCGCCGGTACTGAGTGACATTTTTCTGGCCCACCATGATAGAAATCTGGCACATGTCTTGTCACAGCACAGGGTGGCAAAAGTTGTGAGATACGTGGACGATTACCTTGTCTTGTTCGAGCGTGAAGAAAACGTAGCAGTAAGTCAACTCGAAGCTGTTTTTTCTGCTTGCCTTAGCCCACTCAGTATTACAGTAGAAGAGCCAACCGATAGCGTGCTGCGGTTTTTAGACGTTGAAATGGAATTCAAGCAGCAGCACACGTGTTGGGAATACAAGCCCAGAGCTAATAAGCCCCTGTTGCCATACCAATCTGCTCACTCGAAGCTAGTAAAAAGAAGCATTGCCAATCTGTGTTTTGGGAACGCATTGCGGAAATCTTGCCATCATAAAATTCAGAAAAGTGTCATGAGTCAGTCGGAGAGGTTATCCGCAGCAGGTTTCCCAGAGTCGATACAGGTGTCTGTTGTCGAGGGTTTGCTTAAAAAATGCCGGTTGGACAGTCGCCCTCGGGAAGCAGACATCCAACCGGCAGCGAGTAGGAGCAGAGTTGCAGTAGTGCCGTACCTGCACAAAACTGCTCATAACCTGAAGAAAGTAGCTAGTCGAGTGGGCATCAAAGTAGTATTCTCAGCACCACAAAAGCTTGGCAGGATAAGTCGCTTGACGGACCCGCACCGCAAGCCTGCTGTCGGTTGCTCCAAGAAGCATCGCGATCATTTTGTGGCGTGTGTTGAAGGGGTAGTTTATGGGCTTCCTCTGACTTGTGGTGGTATATGTATAGGTCAGACGGGTAGATGCCTTAATGACCGTCTTCGTGAACATAAGCTCAATGTTAAAAACAAGAATAATTATGGCCATTTGTCAGTACATTGCGTGGAATGTGGTTGCACACCCTTGTACGCATCCTGCAGTGTTCTGGCGAAGCATAAAGATAAAGACGTGCGAGAGATAATTGAAGCCCATGCTATCTTTCGCAAAGGTGACGCATGTGTAAGTGCACCGTCAGTTGACTTGTTAGATCGAGAAAGGGCTTTTCTGCTGGGCTAGTGGATAGACTGGTGGCGCCACTGTACACGGATTTATAGGTTCGCGTTTCCTGAAAATAAAAATTGTTGAAGTTAGCGCATTGTGGTGTCCACTCTCTCCTGTCCCTGTCTCTTAGCGCTCAATATGTCGTCAAGCTCCCTTTACCAACACGCCCAAAAAATGGCACTGACAAAATTGGAGCGACGAAAGATACGGGAACATATTACGCTCAGCAAGAGCAATAAGACTAAGACAACAAGTATGTTTCTTTGTGGTAGGGAGGTCTTTCAAGATGAACAAGGACTAATAAGGCACAAGGGTCGTCTGTCTCAAAGTGGACTCACATACAACGAAAAACATCCAATTGTGCTACCAAAGTGGACGGCTGCTACTAAGCTGCTAGTACGGCATGTGCATTAACTCGCGTTGCATGGAGGAGTCAGTGCAACACTGTAGCAGCTTAGAATGAAATATTGGATAATCCAAGGAAGGCAGCTGGTGGAGAAGGTTATTCATAGATGTTTAAAGGGTCAACGGTTTGACGCTAAACCAATCAAGCAAGACACAGCACTCCTGCCTGCTGACAGAGTAAACCACCGACAACCATTTGAAGTGACTGGTGTTGATTTTACAGGCCTGATGGTTATAAAAGACGCCGTAAAAGGCATGACAAAACTGTACATCGCAGTATTCGTGCGTGCAACAACAAGAGCTGCACATCTCGAAGTTGTTGACAACTGTAAAACAGAAGCATTCTTACACGCATTGGGAAGATTTACAGTGAGAAGAGGCTTATGTCGCACAATATATATAGTGACAATGCAAGGACGTTCAAGAAAGCCAACAAAGAAATCAATCGTATGCTGAAGGAGTTACAAGAAGAAGTCTCTATAGAAGAGCTAACCAAGGAGATAAAATAAAGTGGAAGTTTATCGCCGAACAAGCGCTTTGGTGGGGAGGCTTCAATGAAAGAATAATACGATGCATGAAATCTTCAATGAGGAAACTCGTCGGAAAGAGACTGCTAACCAGGGAAGAGAAGAAAACAATAACCACTGAAGTTGAAACGGTGCTTAACAACAGGCCGTTAACATATATATAGCGTACCGGATGAGCCGCTACCTATTGTGCCAGCTGACATAATAGGTGGAAATACAGACTTCCAGGCAATGACGAAGATCAACATGAAGTCAACAATGAAGAAATCTGGAGAAGGCGGCAAAACGTCATGAAAATTTGGTGGGAACAGTGGAACAAGGAATACCTGAAGGAATTGAGAGAGCAAGCTTACGCAAGTAAAAAATAAACGAGAGTGAACCGAGGAGACATCGCATTGCTTGGTTCACGCATTCCTATCACTTTGGAATCTGGCCAAAGTAATTAAAGCTTATTCGGAAGTCGACGGGAACATACCCTCCTGCCTTTTGAAAACTAATGGAAAACTCCTTCGGAGACCTGTACAACCTATCTACAACTTGAAGGTTGTTTCCAATGAGGAGAACAAAACTTCATGCGGGCGGGAAGCTATTGAAACTCGCCGAAGACAAGGAGAAGAAGAAGATGGGGGGCACGGAAGAGCACACGCGTTAATAAGCAAAATGATAAAAAAGAAGATTCTTGCTTTTCGCTCGCATCGAACGCAGTCCACGCTTATCTCGCCTCGTTTCTGCGACAGGAGCACTTCGGAGCGCAATGAGCTTCACTGTTCTAAGCGTTTACGTAAGAAACCATCCAGGTTTAAGGACTTCGTGTCCTAAACTCTTCTTTCTTACTCGTATGTTAGAATCTGTACCATACGTGTGCATTGTTGTGTGTATGCTGTACATTTATTTATTGTATAAGGGTATAAGGGATACACTGGTATGCTGCGATTTTTTGTTGTATTGTTTGTATAAGTGCTTTCAGCCATGGTGCGCCGTGTACATAGCTATGTTTTTTTATTCATTTCATGCCACTACTCTCTTCTTCAATTGGTTACTTTTCGACAAAAGGAGGGAGGATGTTAATGTTGTAAATACTGTAGTTTAAGGCCGTACAAGTCCTATACCGCTCCTC